TGTTGTATTTCCTCAGTGACCAGCACGGATCAGCTCTAGGCATGACGAAGCGATATCGTCCTCTTTTGGAAGGCCAAACAAAGTAGTTTTGCTTTCACAAGGAAACACACAGCGCCTTCACGACATGGCGGCGACAGCAACAACAATACTACAGCGAGAATAAAAGTTACTCCTTCTTTCTTTGCGTGAACATTTGGGCGGCGTTATGCAAATCTTCCCACATCGTGACGTAGACATGTGGGGGCGTGTTAGAACGAGCCGTTTTAGGTAGGCGTGGCTGACTCTTAACTTTTATAAAGAATATCTCTTTGGATTTGAGACTTTAGTCTTTGCAACTTTACAGATCTTCTTTATGCACCAAGAGCTTGTAACACTCCAAAGAGAAAGGAAAACGTGAAATCGCATCATATGACCCCTTTAATGAGGGCACGTTCTAACCAGAATACATGTACTGTGTTTGTCCATATACATCAATTGAATTCATTAATGGGAACGAAATCTAAATTTAAATATTTATGGCTGTTACCTATTAAATAAATAAATACAAAAGTAGTTGCTAATAATGCACAGGTCACAATATCATAACACTTAAAAATAAAATCTTCAGTCACAATAGTGTCACAGTGCATGTTTTCAATGTTGAAATTAGTCTTTTTCCATTAAAAAACACTTAATTTAACATTCAACAACTCACACAGTGAAACCATATATCTGACAGCTACAAGCCACTATACACTCTAAAAAATGCTGGGTTAAATACAACCCAGCGACTGGGTTGTTTTGACACAGCGCTTGGGTTAAATGTTTAATCCAATCTTCTGGGTAGTTTTATTTAACTATGTTTATGTTTAAAAAAATACTATATAGCTTGCTTAAAATAAACCCAAAATATGCTGTAAATTAAAAATCAGACACATAATTAATTACTAGAGGCATCAGCAATAATCAAAAGGTAAACATTTATAAATACCCAATTAAAAAAAAATGTTAGGCCAAGGTAGGCGACTGCCTTGAGCCCCCAAAAGCCAAGGGCCCCCTAAAATAAAGCATGTGATCAGCTTAGAGACAAAAAAGCAGGAAAATCTAACCACTCCCCAAGCCACGCCCTCGGCACTCGTTATTAAAAATATATATACTTTAGCACATTCAAATATATATCTTATAATAATAAATACTACTGTCATGTAAAAATAAAAAGCAGCATTTAATAATCATGATAATATTTAATAATATATAATAAAAGTATTAATATAATTGTTATTATTAAAGGTCCTGCCAAAAGTTTGAAAACATTAATTATTAATGATCTTGCAATAAATCTCTTCTACTCATCAAGGATGAATTTATTTGATCAAAATAAAGTAAAAACAGCAATACTGTGAAATATTTTTTACAATAAAAACGTTTTCTATTTTAATATATTATAACATGTAATTTATTTCTGTGATGCAAAGCTGAATTTTCAGCATCATTACTCCAGTCTTCTGTGTCACGTGATCCTTCAGAAATCATTACAATTTGATTTGATGCTCAAGAAACATTTCTGATTATTATCAATGTTGAAAACAGCTGTGCTGTATTAAAGCATTTATTAAATAGAAATCTTTTGAAACATTTTAAATGTCTACACTCACTTTTCATCGCTTTAATGTATGATGGATGAAATTATTAATTTCTCTCTCTTTTGTAAAATCTTACCACAAATGCTTGAGTGTTATCATTGTTTCCACAAAAATGTTAAGCAGCAAAAACTGCTTTTAACATTGATAATAAATAGTAAATGTTTCTTGAGCAGCAAATCAGCATATAGGAATGATTTCTGAAGGATCATGTGACACTGAAACTTCTCTTTGTAATCAACAACAGAGTTGTGAATGATTGCATAAAACTTCTCGAAAAGTAAAAGAATAAAACATTTTTGTTCACGTGCGCAGGCGCTCTAGACTCACAGAGAATCGCAGAGTCAGTGCGCATGCGCAGTGCGCAGCTCGACCCGGGCCTGCAGTAGTGGAGCGATCAGCTGGTCATGGCGCGGTACCGTGTGCTCTTGCTCTCGCTCTCACTGTCGTTTGTGGTTCAGTCCGTCGTGTCGATCTCATTCTACCTGCCGGTGCGCGGCAGAAAGTGTCTACGGGAGGAGATCCATAAAGACGTGCTCGTTACCGGAGAATACGAGATCATCGAGCAGCCGAACACGAAATCCAACCTGAAGGTGACGTCACGCCACACATCTACCGGATTAACGATTTAAATCTTCGCAAAAACAGTGGTTACAGTTGCAGTCAACAATTAGGCTACTTTACGCTTGATAGGAGACGGGGTTTATAGTTAGCGCTTCTGTGAGTGTACACGCAAGGCCTTATGTTAGTGCTACATGGCGCTTCCTGGTTGGCCGGTGATTTAATGGTTCAGTTTAGTTCGTTTCTAATAACATTCAGCTGGTTAAATAAACCAGATGAGTTGTGTTAAACGACGTTATGCCTTTATTCAGCCACATAACGCGTGCAAAGAATAAATGTGAATGTAGTTTGTATGTTTCCACCCGTATCTCATTCAGTTGTAACACGTCAGTCTTACATTAACACTACAGACAGAGAAAGAGTGCATGGATTATTAACCCAGTGGTTCCCAACCCTGGTCCTGGAGCACCCCAACACTGCACGTTTTGCATGTCTTCTTAATCAAACACACCTGATTCAGATCATCAGCTCATTAGTAGAGACTCCAAGACCTGAAATTGGTGCAAAGGAGACATGCAAAATGTGCAGTGTTGGGGTGCCTCAAGGACCAGGGTTGGGAACCACTGGATTAAGATATAACTAAACATTACTGATCAGTGTTAATTATAATATTTTCGGCCTTCCTTATAATAAACGTGTAATAATCTCTTTGGCTTTTACTGAATATCAAATATTTTGATCCTGTTAGATCACAGACTCCTCCGGACACATCCTCTATGTGAAAGAAGATGCAACCAAAGGCAAGTTTGCCTTCACCACAGAGGACTATGACATGTTTGAGGTGTGCTTCGAGAGCAAGTCACCTATGGGTGAGTGTCTGACACATCTGCAGACTTTTTAATAGCACCTTGGCTGACATATGTTCAGCTTAAAGTGATACTATGATGGGCGATACATACGATTCTGAATCAGCACCGATATGCTCTATGAATTCTGAATTTGTAAATTTTTCTTCCGTTTAGGAACTGGAAGAGTTCCTGACCATCAGATCAACTTGGACATGAAGCACGGTGTTGAGGCCAAAAATTATGAAGAGGTTTGTTTGCGTTGTTTTTTTTCATGCTTAAAAGTTTCTCTCAGTTGCTCAAAAGTTTGCTTTTTTTTTTTTTTTGAAGATGTCTCTTCTGCTCACCAAGGCTTTATTTATTTGATTAAAAATGCACTAAAAATGGTAATATTGTGAAATATTATTACCATTTAAAACAACTCTTTTCTATTTGAATATATTTTAACATGTAATTTATTCCTGTGATGCAAAGCTGAATTTTCAGCATCATTACTCCAGTCTTCAGTGTCACATGATCCTTCAGAAATCATCCTAATAGGCTGACTAATGCTCAAGAAACATTATCATCACTGTTGAACATGTTTGTGCTGCTTAATGTTTTTGTAGAACACATGATACATTTTTTTTCAGGTTTCTTTGATGACTAGAAAGTTCAAAATATATATTTTTTTACAATATTTAAATGTCTTTACTGTCAGTTCTGATTAATTTAATTGCTCAATAAGTGTAGTAATTTCCTTAAAAACAAACCGTACTGACCTCAGACTTTAATACGGTAGCTTATATGTGACCCTGGAGCACAAAAGCAGTCTTAAGTCGCTGGGGTTTATTTATAGCAATAGCCAAAAATACATTGTATGAGTCAAAATTATAGATTTTCTTTTATGCCAAAAATCATTAGCATATTAAGTAAAGATCATGTTCCATGAAGATATTTTGTAAATTTCCTACTGTAAATATATAAAAAAATTAATTATTGATTAGTAATATGCATTGCTAAGAACTTCATTTGGACAACTTTAAAGGCAATTTTCTCAATATTTAGATTTTTTTGCACCCTCAGATTCCAGATTTTCAAATAGTTGTATCTTGGCCAAATGTTGTCCGATCCTAACAAACCATACATCAATGGAACGCTTATGTATTCAGCTTTGAGGAAAAAAAATGGACCCTTAAGACTGGTTTTGTGGTCCAGGGTCACATATTGCATTTGGAGATTATCTTCACCTACTGTTACAGGCAGATTTGTAGCTGTTGGTTTGATCGGTTAGTCAGTCTGAAGTTATTCTGCGTTTGTTCAGATTGCCAAGGTCGAAAAACTGAAGCCCCTGGAAGTAGAACTCCGTCGGTTGGAAGATCTTTCAGAGTCTATTGTCAATGACTTTGCCTACATGAAGAAGAGAGAGGAGGAGATGAGAGATACTAATGGTAAGAACCAACAAAACATACCACTTTAGTTTAATTCCAGCTCCAAGCAGTTAGAAGTGTCAGCAACATGAGCTCTAACGTTCTGACTTGTTTTGCAGAGTCCACTAACACACGCGTGCTGTACTTCAGCATCTTCTCCATGTGCTGTCTGATCGGTCTGGCCACGTGGCAGGTCTTCTACCTGCGCCGCTTCTTCAAGGCCAAGAAGCTCATTGAGTAAACTCTGCCTGAACAATCAGGGACCCAGAACTTCTTCCTGACATCAGAATCTCCGGCCCCTGACATTTTGCTTTGCCTCGGCGATTCATTCCGGTCGCTGCGGGTGGCCTGAAGTTTATCGGGAGTGGATGTGCATCAGGGAATCCTCTGGGAAGCGATTGATGCTTGGCGGCCAAATTGTCTTTCAGTGCGTGTACATTTTTGATACATGCTTGTTCCGTATCATTTGGAAAAATCACCCAGGTTTTCAAAAAAATTTTTTGCTTTATTTTCTTGTATTTATACTAAATGACAGCAGAAGCCCCTATAACTGATAAAAGATATGCTCCTGTGAGAGAAACTTTGTGGTCATTGAATGTGTGTGTGTGTTAATAATTACAGTAATCTGTTCCGCCTATTATTTGGAAAGATGGAATGATTGTTTCTCATGAACAGAGTGATGTGTTTAGCTGTCTATATTATTTCTCTAAAGACTTATGTTTGGTAATGCAAAGCCATTTTATCAAAATGAAGTCCCACTCACTGCAAGGGAAGAGAGAGCGATCGCACACCAGAGCTACACGCTGTCATATATCATTCTGACTTTGAGAAATGTACTAATTTTTAAGCAGTTTTATTTTGTGGGGCAGAATCTCTTTTTAGTTTGCTTATTATGGGAAAGTGTGAGTTCATCTGTGATTAAAATCTTTATTTGTTGATTGTTAGTTTCTCCACAGACTGAATAAATGTCCAATCCAACAGAACTCTTGCAGTGGGCCTGAGGTTAAAGGTGCATAAATGCCATCACTGCTCCATCAATTCTGGGTTGATTTGTTGCAGGATCTACCTGTATTTGACAGATCAAACTAGACGGTCATTTTTCATTTTCTCTTCTTTTCAAATACTTTTATGGAATAGTGGTTACACATGTCCTGGGTTTGGATCAGATTTATTATTATTATTATTTGCTGCCAGTGGTTTAATTTTTTGTTCCAGTGTTCAATCAACTTCAACGGCAATGTTTTTGATTCTAATTAATTTTGGTGAAAGTGGATTTCGGAAATATAATTGGCTTGTCATTCAATAAAGGTTGTTAGTAAAGTATTGTGAGTGTTTGTCAGTTACTAACAAATGAGGTCCGTTACAGCAGCACATGAGTGTTCATGTTTTGAACAAAGACATTAAAATACACCAAATAATAAAATGACTATTAAAAATAATACATTCTACATAATATTCTATATAATAATTATAGTCCAGCATGCTTTATTTAGCCATATAACATTAAAATCATAACAGTGCAATATATGTAAATGTATTTTATTCTTTATATACTGTGTGTGCGTATTTATATACATATAGGGATGCATTAAGCTGATAGTAAATACCTTTACATTGTTACAAATACATAAATTCTGTCAAATAAATTCTGTTCCTTTGAACTTTATATTATCAAAGAATCATGAAAAAAAATGTATCAGCTTCAACAAATATTAAGCAGCAGGACTGTTTTCAACATTGATAATAATAAACGTTTCTTGAGCCTATCAGAATGATTTCTGAAGGATCGTGTGAGACTGAAGACTGGAGGAATGATGCTGAAAATTCAGCTTTGCATCACAGGAATACATTACATTTTACAATATATTACAATAGAAATCAGTTATTTTCAATTGTAATAATATTTCACAACATTACAGTTTTTACTGTATTTTTGATACTCTGAGGGTGAGCAGAAGAGACGACTTCTTTTTGAAACATTAAAAAATCTTACCAACCATGAACTTTAAGTATGATAACAATCAAGAACCAGCATGTTTTCTATAGCCATATATTAAAATGCTAAATAATATACAGTGCATTATGCAACATATTTTAATAGGCTACTTCGTGGGTTTTACATGCAGCAATCTGTTTTGTATAATCTATTGAATAGCATTACAGAAAAGACTTGAGTGAGTGTTGATATGGATGGACGGTTGGTGGGGCTGTTACAACACAGTCCTGATCGCCGATAAATAACAGAAGAAGAGCAGGATTCATGACCCGGAGGAGGTTTCTGTCTGGTTCCGTAAGTGGTCAAGCGTTCAGAATCAGCGCTTTACTGAGACGTTAGAGAAAATGCCCGGCGCGGATAAAGAGACGGATCTGTCCGAGCGAATCGAGTCGTTTCTGTCCGAGCTGAAGCGCTGCGGCAGCGGGGCAGGATCCCTCCGGGGCTCCGCGGAAACTGCCCGAGAAACGACCGCTTTACTCCGCAGAATCACCGCGCAGGCCCGCTGGAGCAACGCCGGTGAGTGAGCGCTCGAGATCGGATCAGAACCCGAGCGCTGTCCGCTGTTCTAAATCAGAACCCGAGCGCTGATCCAGATGCTCAGCCTTGTTTTGCTTGACACACGACTTCAGTTACATCACCTGTGCTGCTTGTGTAGTGCTACATGCGCCTGTGGTTTACAGCAGAGCTTTTCAGTCTTCCATATTTTATATTCCAAACATGATCATCCTCATGTGAGCGACCCCATGCTAACATTTAAATGGCGGTTATATATTTGCTTGTAAAAAGATCTAGCTTATACGTGAAAAAGATCAAATTTGAGCATTTTCACAGTGTGAATGACAGATGAGGTCTATAAAAGCAATGTTGTCCACTAGAGGGGGGCCACTGGATGAGCTTTTCATTCAAATCAATTTGAATGCCTGAATATTTCCTGATTTCCTTTTTGAAGTCAGTGGACTCTTTTGGAACTATCACAGTATTTTTCTAAGTGGTTTCGTCAAACCCTAAATCACATTATCAGTGGAAACTCCAGACCGTTGCCTTTGTAGTAAAATATAATATTTAGAAATTGGGGTGTGCGAAATATATCGTCTGCGATAATATCGTAATTGTTGTTTTAACGATGTGCGATTTGACATTATCGAGTATTTTGCAAAAACTATTCAAAACATCCCTACAGAGCGCACGCATACATTATGTGAAGTCTAGACTAGTGTGTGTGCACATTTAGTGCGCTTTTCTTTCACTGCATTATTCAGTCTATTAAAATGCATTTAGAATGATCACAAATTCAAGACATGGCAGAAAATTTATATATTTATACCACTTCATATAGTTATTCAATTTCACACGAAGAGTGGCGTTTTTCTCCAAAAATTACCATGATTACAAATGTGACATTGAATTCAATAAACAATAAGTTAATTAACAGACTTGGGTTTTAGACACCATATTGTTTGTTTTTGCTCTATTTCGCCAACAAAAATCATTCCGAATACAGCCACAGCGCTGTTTTGTGTCTCTGAGCAACATGACGGTGTTTCGTTCTTGAATTAATCAACCGTTTAAATGATTCGGCTCAATCGCAATGACTCACTTATTAACAGTGATTTGCTGCCACCTACTGGCGGATTTAATTTCAAATTTCGGCTTTTTCTTTCTTTTCTTTTTTTCATGTCTTAAATCATTTCAAATATCAGTATTCAACGTTTTATGTTTAATATATCAAAACATTATTTATGCATTTGTAATTGCAGGTTAAATGCATTCATGTCTTGCATTAAACAAAATACATGTGTGTAAATGTATCTAAATGCCACTTCAGATGCAGCTTCTGTGTTGATTTCATTTGCTTGGTAACAGCCCAAATGTCTTATTATTCTAATTCCCTGATTAAATGTAAGAGCCATATAACATTAAAATCATAACAGTGCAATATATGTAAATGTATTTTATTCTTTATATACTGTGTGTGCGTATTTATATACATATAGGGATGCATTAAGCTGATAGTAAATACCTTTACATTGTTACAAATACATAAATTCTGTCAAATAAATTCTGTTCCTTTGAACTTTATATTATCAAAGAATCATGAAAAAAAATGTATCAGCTTCAACAAATATTAAGCAGCAGGACTGTTTTCAACATTGATAATAATAAACGTTTCTTGAGCCTATCAGAATGATTTCTGAAGGATCGTGTGAGACTGAAGACTGGAGGAATGATGCTGAAAATTCAGCTTTGCATCACAGGAATAAATTACATTTTACAATATATTACAATAGAAATCAGTTATTTTCAATTGTAATAATATTTCACAACATTACAGTTTTTACTGTATTTTTGATACTCTGAGGGTGAGCAGAAGAGACGACTTCTTTTTGAAACATTAAAAAATCTTACCAACCATGAACTTTAAGTATGATAACAATCAAGAACCAGCATGTTTTCTATAGCCATATATTAAAATGCTAAATAATATACAGTGCATTATGCAACATATTTTAATAGGCTACTTCGTGGGTTTTACATGCAGCAATCTGTTTTGTATAATCTATTGAATAGCATTACAGAAAAGACTTGAGTGAGTGTTGATATGGATGGACGGTTGGTGGGGCTGTTACAACACAGTCCTGATCGCCGATAAATAACAGAAGAAGAGCAGGATTCATGACCCGGAGGAGGTTTCTGTCTGGTTCCGTAAGTGGTCAAGCGTTCAGAATCAGCGCTTTACTGAGACGTTAGAGAAAATGCCCGGCGCGGATAAAGAGACGGATCTGTCCGAGCGAATCGAGTCGTTTCTGTCCGAGCTGAAGCGCTGCGGCAGCGGGGCAGGATCCCTCCGGGGCTCCGCGGAAACTGCCCGAGAAACGACCGCTTTACTCCGCAGAATCACCGCGCAGGCCCGCTGGAGCAACGCCGGTGAGTGAGCGCTCGAGATCGGATCAGAACCCGAGCGCTGTCCGCTGTTCTAAATCAGAACCCGAGCGCTGATCCAGATGCTCAGCCTTGTTTTGCTTGACACACGACTTCAGTTACATCACCTGTGCTGCTTGTGTAGTGCTACATGCGCCTGTGGTTTACAGCAGAGCTTTTCAGTCTTCCATATTTTATATTCCAAACATGATCATCCTCATGTGAGCGACCCCATGCTAACATTTAAATGGCGGTTATATATTTGCTTGTAAAAAGATCTAGCTTATACGTGAAAAAGAAATGTTATAAATATGTCCAAAATATTATTCTATTATTTTGCTATTAAGTAACATTGTTTTTTCTACTTACTATAATATTGTACTGTTATATTGTATTGTTTATTTGTTCATTTTACTACATCTTTACTTTAAATATTTATTGTAATAAATTTATTGTAATCAGTCATTTAATTTTTTATTAATTTTTCAACATATTTTTTATAATTCTAATTTAGATTTAAATGTAATTTTTATTTTAATATCATTTTATATGAATTAAATGTATTAATTAAATTGAATATCATTTGTTTTCTAAATTGTTTTAAAATAATTTGAATAAATTTAATATACTTTTCATATTTTGAATACCATATTATTGTATTATTTTAATCAATTTTATTTCTATTAATATTTTGTTTATTTGTTTTTATTATTATTTTAATTATAATTGTAATCTATTTTCATTATTTATTAATGTATTTTAATCTATTTTCTTTGTGTACTTTATATATATATATATATATATATATATATATATCTTATTTCTATTATTTATTTATCTTTACTTTTTTTATCAAAATTTACTCACAGACCCTTTAGCACTTGCTTGCGGCCCCAGTTTGACACCCTCTGGTTTACAGGATCTTGAAGTTTCTGGTGTGTGTGTGTGTGTGTGTGTGTGTGTGTGTGTGTGTGTGTTTCAGGTGCTCTGGGGGAAAATATACGTATCAAAGAATCATGAA